ACACGTTTAAAGAATATAATACTGTGCATAATTCTTTAAAAAAAATATAAATATATAATAGTTACCTGCTCCATCCAATGTGCTTGCAGACACAAATGTGTCATTATAAGTCCCTCTGAGATGGCTGCCGTCTACTACAACTATTGGCAACTTTCAAAACCTTTTGCGAAAGGAAACAAAGCTATAAAGACATAGAAATTCATTTTCTTCCGTCTTCTTCAATCTTATATGCGATCCAAGATAAGTGGTGTCCAATATGTATAAATAACTGGGTAATTTACTATATGAATCAGATGGTGTCCCCCTTAATGTATTTATTGCCTTTTCCCTAGAATTCCATGCCACAGAGTAAGATACGTCTACACCAAGTTCGAGTCTAACATCAACTTGTATGTCTTTCGGTGTCAACTTTCTTTTATGATCAACTAGCTTGGGCTTTATTATAACTCCAACAAGACTGCTTGTTGCTTGTCTCTGACTATACACCTTATCTTTTAATGAACATGTATGCTCATCTACAAACTTTCTAATTCTAAACATTCGCGATTTATTGATGTTGGAAGCCTTCATTTTTCATCCACAATTTTCAGATACACAAACAAGTGTATAATTGCTCGAATTACAAAAGAAAATAAACAAAATAAATTAAGACATGATATTATATGGAATAATTAATATAACAACAAAAGCTAAAATATATTTAAATACAAAATACCTTATGTCACGACCCAAAACGGGTTGCGACTGGCACCCACACTTACCCTCCTATGTGAGCGAACCAACCAATCTAACCTTAACATTTCAATATAATATCAACAGAAAGTAATGCGGAAGACTTAAACTCATTAAATAAAGACCAATTCATTAACTTCTAAAATTCAACATTTATTATTCCCCAAAATCTGGAAGTCATCATCACAAGAACATCTACGATCAAATGACTAAACTAAGAGTATTCTAAAAGCTAAAAATACATAAGAAGCTAGTCCATGCCGGAAGTTCAAGGCATCAAGACTTGAAGAAGAAGATCCAGTCCAAGCTAGAAACATTAGCTCACCCTGAATTTCTGATGTAGTAAGACTGGCTTGAATTACTGTTGAGTTGAAGACGATGGCACGTTTGCTACACTCCACAAATAAACAAGAAGAAAACATAAAAGTAGGGGTCAGTACCAAAACACGGGTACTGAGTAGATATCATCGGCCAACTCAAAATAGAAATCAATATATACCAAGTAATATCATAAAATCAACTATGATACTCAACATGTAGCAACAACAAATACTATATCATTAACAATTACCGTCAAGTTCACACATGAGGACTCAAGCCTCGATACCATACTCATTTGGGAATCATGTTCATTAGATTGAGTATATTAACATCTTTCAAGATTCATTATCTTTATTTCTCTTGTGTCGGTACGTGACACTCCGCTCCCTCAATATTCATTAATCCTCTTGTGTCGGTACGTGACACTCCGATCCCCTAAATCTATGTGTCAGTTCGTGACACCCGATCCCCTAAATCTATGTGTCGGTTCGTGACACCCGATCCCCTAAATCTACGTGTCGGTTCGTGACACCCGATCCCCTAATACTACGTGTCGGTTCGTGACACCCGATCCCCTAATTCTACGTGTCGGTTCGTGACACCCGATCCCCTAATTCTACGTGTCGGTTCGTGACACCCAATCTCCTAATACTACGTGTCGGTTCGTGACACCCGATCCCCTAATTCTACGTGTCGATTCGTGACACCCGATCCCCTAATCTCCTTCCATCAATTCATCAAGCCTTCTCCCTTACCAAGGCATCATCAATCTCATTACTTTAGTTCATCAAGCCTTCTCCCTTACCAAGGCATCATCATTAAAAGGAGATTAGGTTTTTATCGAGATTTGAGATTCAATAACTTCATCATGCTTAATATAATCACAATTATATAATCACGTTCATGCATGCATACAATTAAGCACATAGCAGGGTTTACAATACTACCAATACATATCATTCTCTATTAAGAGTTTACTATGAAAGCATGAAAACCATAACCTACCTCCACCGAAGAATTGCGATCAACAAGCTATCTTCTCAAAATCCTTGCTATCCTCTTCGTTTCTCTCTCTCTCTACTCGTTCTCTTTCTTTTTCTGTTTCTCTTTGTTCTTTCTATTTTTCTTATTCAAACCCTCTTTCTTTTACCCTAATTAACATATAATTAAGAATAAAATATGGCAATAATGCCCCACTAATTAACTTAAGGTTACCTCTTTTAACCCCCAAGTAATTAGACTTATTAACATTAACCCACTAACTTTATAATTAAGGCAAGAATAGTCAAAAACATCCCTTAAAACGTATCAAGAAATACGACCCAGACTGGGATTTCGCAGTCTGTGACGGCCCGTCGCGCCTGCGATGGTCCGTCCTGCTGCCCGTCACAGAGTTCAGAGACTCAATTTCTCTGAAGAATCTGTGACGGTCCGTCCTGCCATTCCGTTACGAAGTTCAGAGAGTCGATTTCAATACCCAATTTTTAGTTTTTCTAAGTGTTTTGAAACGAGACCCTGCGAAGGTCCGTCGTGCCCATGACGGTCCGTCGTGGGGTCCGTCGCCTCAGCCTGTTTTTCCAGAAATAAAATCTGCTGCTCAAAATGACTAAACAGGTCGTTACACCTTACTAAACTTGATCTTTTTGTCTTCCACTGAAATCTATTATCAATGTCATATTTCATCATCACAGCTTTCAAAGTACGTTTATTCTTATAAAATTGATCCTCAATGACTTCTTTATGATTCATATTGCAGATAATAGAATTACTTAACTCATCACTGATTAATGGTGCACTAATAACTATTGCTTGGTTATCAGTTGTACTTCTTCCATTTATCATACACAAGCCAATATCTACTTTATAATGATTTCTACAATTTATGTCACGATCATTCACAAATACAGTTACACAAATTGGATACTTTGCGAATTCTCAAACTTCTTTCTTCAATGAGACATATACCCTCATTCCCATATCGTTGTATATCTCCAAAGGTGCAATGCTACCTTCTATTTTATACTTAAGTTTCAATCTGTTATACCTCAAATCTACGCCAATCTGATTAGCAACTTCATCAACTAAATCTTTATACGATGCATACTTTTTAATCATAATTGCCCCAGTTGTGTAATCAACATAACAATTATCTTCAGTCCAATGTCCAGAAGGCTTTATTATAAAAGCAATGCTCCCCATATATGCTTTATAGTTAAAAAAAAAAGTCAGTACTAAATACCAAAATAATGACACTATCATTAACTTGTATAAAGAATACAAAACAATAAAGTTACAATCGTAATTCAAATAAAAGATTTGAACATTATTATTTGTCTAAACAATTGATGCATCATATAAGTATACTGTTGGATATACGGTTTCGTATACTAAAGTTGAAAAAACAACATCAAATCAGAATACTATTATATAAAAAAAACGCAACAAATCACAATCAAATACAAAACATATAACGATTAATTAACTAAAACATACCTGAATTCCGACTTTTCGTTTTTGTTTATTTTCATGGAATCGTTTACCCAATTTATATGACAAAACAATAAAATCGAAATATTTTTTTTTCAGGATGAACATCGTGAATAATGGCTACATATATCATCAAGATTTGAAAAAATTGTAACTGATGTAGAGAGTTTTAAGCATCTGTTACTTTTTATAATTTTTCTCTCCCCTAAATAGCTCTAGTTTGTTATATAAATTAGGTATTCTTTTTAATTAAACAAAATAATTAAAATATATTTAAAATACATAATAATGTAACATTTTGACATTATCACTAAATATTGAAAGTGTTGACACTATACCCTAATAAATACTAAAATGATGGCATTTTAAAAAATTTCCCCTCTTTTATTCATTGTTTGAATAATGGGAAATTTTTTCAAAATGTCAATATTTTAGCATTTAAGGGAACTCATTAGCAACAATTTCAATATTTAGTAAAAATGTCATTTTAGTTTGTTATATATCTTATTTATGTTTTTATTATTTATTTTTATTTGAAGAATATAATTATTTAATAACAAAAAGGAGAAAATTAAGGGGGGGAATATTTCAAAAAAAGGCAAGCATCCTTAATTTTCTCATCAGTTACATTTTCAAATAAAATTTAAATTTTGTTTTTTTTTCTCCAGAATTTTACCTTTTTAAAATTATATTCATTCAACAATATATTCTATTTATATTTATTATAGTTTTTTATTAGTTTGTATTCATTCCAATAGGTATGCCGAATTTATCTATATAGTCATTTAAGAAATATATTTGTATTTTCATATATTTTTTCCCTATATAGTTATTTTTTTCTTCAAAAATCTTGTATGTATTCATTTCAATATGTATTTTATTTGTATTTCTATTTATTCTAGTTTTTATTTAGAATTTTGTATAACAATATATAAAATACAAAAATTAGAATGATGAAAAAGTGAATGAAATATAAAATTGAAAAGAAATAATTGAATATTTGGTATACTCATTCTTAAATAAAATACATAACTAGTTGACATACCTTTAGAATAAATACAAATTAGAAAAAAATGTCAAATTCAGTTGACATACCTTTATTAGTTTGTATTCATTCCAATATGTATGTCAAATAGAATGTAGCTATTTTAAAAAATACATTTGTGATCGTATATATTTTTTACTGTGTATTTATTTTTCTTTTCAAAATCTTGTTTCCTGTTCTAAGTCGTATTCATTTCAATATGTCTATTATTTGTATTTGTATTCGAATACAAATAAACTAATAGAAAGTTGTTCTTCTTATAAATAAAATACATAACTAGTTGACATACATTTGGATGAATACAAATTAGGGACAAATACAAGATTCATAAACCATGCAACATGAAATTTTTAATAAATACAATTATTGATAGTATACATAGTGATTTGAATACAAATTAAGAAAGCATGCCAAATTCTAAAAAAGAACTATAAATACAAAACAAACTAATAGAAAATTGTTCGACAACTATCCGATCTTCGTCGTCTTTTTCAAGATCCTCACGAGTAGACAAAGATTCTACATTTGCGTTCTAAATTTGAGGAAGGTTTTTGTAACGACCTGTTTAGTCGTTTTGAGCAGCAGATTTTATTTCTGGAAAAATAGGCTGAGACGACGGAACCCACGACGGACCGTCATGAGCACGACGGACCGTCGAGGGGTCTCATTTCAAAACACTTAGAAATTCTGAAAAATGGGTACTGAAATCGACTCTCTGAACTTCGTAACGGAATAGCAGGACGGACCGTCACAGACTCTTCAGAGAATTGAGTCTCTGAACTCTGTGACGGAGCAGCAGGACGGACCGTCGCAGGCACGACGGCTCGTCACAGGCTGCGTAATCCCAGGCGGAGTCGGATTTCTTTAATGTTTTAAGGGACGTTTTGGACTATTCCTGCTTTAATTATAAAGTTAGTGGGTTAATGTTAATAAGTCTAACTACTTGGGGGTTAAAAGAGGTAACCTTGAGTTAATTAGTGGGTTATTATTGCCATCTTTTATACTTAATTATATGCTAATTAGGGTAAAAGAAAGAGGGTTTGAATAAGAAAAAGAAAAGAACAGAAAGAGAGAAAGGGGATCGAACGAGAAAGAAGAGAAACGAGAAAATGAAAAAGGCTTGGGAAATTGCTTGCTTGATCAACATTCTTCGGTGGAGGTAGGTTATGGTTGTTACACTATTCGTAGTAAACTCTTAATAGCGAATGATATGTATTGGGTAGTGTTGTAAACCCTTCTATATGCTTAATTGTGTGTTTGCATGTTGTGATTATATAATTGTGATGAAATAAGCCATGATGAAGCCATTAAATCTGTAATCTTGAAAAAGAAACTCTAATCTACTTTGTTAATGATGATGCCTTAGTATAAAAGAAGGCTTGATGAACGAAAGTAGTGAGATTAGGGGATCGGGTGCCACGTTCCGATACCAGGATACAATGAGGATCGGAGTGTCACGTTTCGACACCAGGATAGAATATGGATCGGGTGCCACGTTCCGGTACCAGGATAGAATGAGGATCGGAGTGTCACGTTCCGACACTAGGATAGAATATGGATCAGGTGCCACGTTCCGGTACCAGAATAGAATGAGGATCAGAGTGTCACGTTCCGATACCAGGATAGAATATGGATCGGGTGCCACGTTCCGGTACCAGGATAGTATATGAGGATCGGAGTGTCACGTTCCGACACCAGGATAGTATATGAGGAGCGGAGTGTCACGTACCGACACGAGAGGAATAAAGATAATGAATCTTGAAAGATGTTAATATACTCAATCTAATGAACCTAATTCCCAAATGAGTATGATGAGGAGGCGTGAGTCCTCGTTGATGAGCTTGGTGTTATGACCAAGGGTTATGGTAATTGTAAATGCCGCATGTTGAGTATTGTAGTTGATTTTATAATGTTATCTGATATATACTGTTTTCTATTTTGAGTTGGCCGATGATATCTACTCAGTACCTGTGTTTTGTACTGACCCCCTACTTTTATGTTTTCTTCTTTGTTATTTGTGGAGTGCAGCAAACGTGCCATCGTCTCCAACGCAACCGCAACTCTAGCCAGTCTTCATTACTCCGGATTTCAGGGTGAGCTAATGCTTCTAGCTTGGACTGGATCTTCCTCTTCATGTCTTGATGCCTTGAAGTTCCGGCATGGACTAGCTTTTTATGTATTTTAGCTTCTAGATACTCTTAGCTTTAGTAATTTGAAGTAGATGTTCTTGTGATGATGACTTCCAGATTTTGGGGATAATAATAGTTGTTGAGTTTTTAGAAGTTATTGAATTGGTTTTTATTAATGAGTTTAAGTCTTTCACATTACTTTCTGTTGATATTATATTGAAATGTTAAGGTTTAGATTGGTTGGTTCGCTCACATAGGAGGGTAAGTGTGGGTGTCAGTCGCGGCCCGATTTGGGTCGTGACAGTTTTGCACACTAATGAGTCTTGTAAATGTTCTTACCCTCTTTCTTCCCTCATTTTAGCAGCGGATCATACATTATACACTATTTGTTAAGTAATAAATAAATTAAAGGATGAAAAATCACCAGAAATTGGTTGATTAAGATGAATACCTCTAGTAAGCCTCTTGGATTCAGCCATTGGAGAGTAAATCATAACGGAAATTGAAAAATACAAACAACATTTTTTAAAGATTTATACAAAAATAAAATTAGAAAAGAAATCTGAAAATAGGATAAAGATTAGAGATACCTTAATCAAAGGGATTCTTGTTGATTCAATTTTGGATTAAAAAAACAACCAAAATATATGGCAAAAAAATATTTCCAACTTGAATGTTGGAGGAAAATCAGAATAGATAACCATGAGAGAGAAAAAAAATAAAATGGGAGAGACAATTAACAATTTAAAAAGATAAATATGAGAGAGAATGACATTTTTTTTAAAAAAAAAGGATATATAGAATTAATTGAAAAAGAGAGATAAAATAGGAAGAAAATTGGGACACATAAATTTTTTAAAATAATGACATTTTTGACATTATTGCTAATATTTATAAAGTATGGATATTTTTACTAGATATGTTATTTATTTTGACTAGTTTACTAATTTTTTCTTGAATAATAATAGCTAATTGGCCATCTGAAAAAAATCTAAAATAGGCCCAAATGTTGATCCATTTCATCAAAACCCAAACAAATTGACCCACTAACACAAAATCTAAACATCTAAACAATTTCAAAGATCAAACACAATAAAATAGCTCAGAAATAATAATAATAATAATAATAATAATAATAATAATAATAATAATTCAAGCAAATCATCAACATGATAAACTTAAAGAACATTAATAACACAAATCCGACATCAAACGACTTATATGGTTAAACGAAAAAAAATAATGATGAATTTGAATAAAGATTGAGAGGGGAGAAAGATTGACATAACTTCCGGGTAAATGAAGGTCGCTGGAAAACTTTGCCAAAATTTTTTTGACGGATTTTAAACTTAAAATTTATATCAAATGATAGCCCTTGAAGAGCTCTACATATATATGTAAAGGGTTTGAGATGGGAATGACCGGAACTTTATAAATCTAAAAAAAGTAAAAATTCATATTTGGTTTTCCTTAGATCTACGGAGTTTGGCTATAGATATGAATGAAAGGTTTGTAGATTTAGGTAGAGGAGGGTAAAAGGAAGCGATGATAAAATTTTAAAGATTTTTTCGGCCAAAAAGGTGGTGGCCACCGGGCGGTGATGGCGGATCAACGGCATGGTACTAAGGGGAAGAAGAAAAATATTAAAAGAAAATCTAAAATAAAAAAAAAAGCTATTTTTTGGGAGTTTTGTATTTTTATTTTGGTCCAATAATAGCCATTGGGTCAAATATCATGAATGATTGAGATTCAATCTTGAACATTTCTATTAACCGGGTCAAAATCAATTGGGCCATCAGAATTGATCTAAATCAGCCCAATTTAAATAAAATTGGATCATCTGAGCCAATAAAATAATAAAAATAAACACCCAAAATATAAATTAAAAAAATTACTAAAATATTATAGGATTAAAATAAACATGTAAAAAATTAGGTTTTCACATCGATGTCTTTGGGGGACCATGGACGTGGGTTTATTCTATTTCAATGAATCTAAGTCAGAACTGATTGGTTATGCAGATGCAGGGTATTTATCTGATCTGCATAAAGCTCGATAAAAAATAGGTTATTTGTTTACATATGGAGACACGACAATATCTTGGCGATCAATGAAGCAAACGTTGGTAGCCACTTCTTCAAATCATGCAGAAATAATAGTCATCCATAAAGCAAGTCGAGAGTGCGTCTGGTTGAGATCAATGACCCATCATATTCAGGAAATGTGTGGTTTTTCTTTGAAGAAGAATATACCAACCACAATGTACGAAGATAATGCTGCATGTATAGCTCAATTGAAAGGAGGATACATCAAAGGAGACCGGACAAAGCATATTTCACCAAAGTTCTTTTTCACGCATGATCTTCAACAAAATGGTGAGATAGAAGTTCAACAAATTCGTTCAAGTGATAATCTTGCTGATTTATTCACTAAGGCATTGCCAACATCAACGTTTGAGAAGTTGAGATACATGATTGGGATGCATCGTTTTCGAGATATCAAGTAAAGTTTTCATTAGGGGGAGTGAAATAAGTGTTGTACTCTTTTCCTTAACTATGGTGTTTTCCCAAGTTGGGTTTTCCTGGTAAGATTTTTAACGAGGCAACATTTAAAGCGTATTATGAGATATGTGTACTTTTTTTCCTTCACTAGGCTTTTTCGCATTGTGTTTTTTCTAGTAAGGTTTTAACGAGGCACATAATCTATGGATATCCAAGGGGGAGTGTTGTAAATTCATTGTATATTATATGTGAATTATGCATTAGATTTATCCACTATTCAATAAGTTCATGTATAGGTGCTTCCAAGGTGATAAGAACTTCCAAGATAACTATGTATCTATTAATTAGATGACTTTTGGAGTGATATCTCAATACTATAAATAGAGAATCACTCACCATTTTGAAGATATACTTGAATTAGAAAAATTCTCTCCTCTATCTTATACTTCTTGTCTTTTTCTTCTTATATTTTGAGTTTTGTTTACAACATAATACATATTCTCATAACATTTTCACTTGACCGTGTGAGTGAAAGAGTCACATATTCATATCATGGACCTCCATTGTACTTGTAAGTTTTCAGCTATACAAATCATTCGGAACCTAGAGTTACAAATCAATTCAAAGTTTTAGAGAGACACAAAATTAAACTCGCGATACGATGAATATTGTGAGGAAATGATACCTAGAAACTCCAGATACAAGAGGGTGTTAATGTTAGGTAGTGGAGCCTGATTAATTTTAGGTTTTCTTATTTATTCTCTATTTTAGGTTTTCTTATTTATTCTCTATTTTAGGTTTTCCTATTTATTCTCTGTAACAAAAAATACTCTGATTTATTAATATAAATATACCTCACCGCCGTGGAAGTTTACTCACGGGATTTTACCACGAAATATTAGGTTTTCTCTTTCTCTCTCTAGATCTCTCATCTCTTTCTCTTGAAAGTTCTTGTGTTCTTCATTCATCTAATGTGTGTGCGTGGATTCGATCCTATCAACTAGTATCAGAGCTAAGGAGATTCAATACGATCACAGAAGATGGATAGTTCGAAGCTTGGAATCGAGAAGTTTGATGGATCCGATTTCAGTTTCTGGAAGATGCAGATTGAAGATTATCTATACTTGAAAGATCTTCACGAACCGTTGACCGGGGTGAAGCCGGAATCCATGACGGAGGAGAAGTAGAAACTCAAGGATCGCCAGGATCTAGGGTTGATCCGGTTGACTTTGTCAAGAAACGTGGTGTTCAACATCGTGAAGGAGAAGACTACGTCAGGTCTGTTGAAGGCACTGTCAAACATGTATGAAAAACCATCGGCTATGAACAAGGTATATTTAATGCATAGATTGTTCAATTTACAGATGTCTGAGAATGGATCTGTTTTTGATCATATAAACGAGTTCAATATGATTGTGAGTCAACTCAATTCAGTGGATATTAATTTCGAAGATGAAATTAAGGCGGTGATTTTGATGTCATCTCTGCCCGAGTCTTGCGATACTGTTGTTGCTGTGATTAGCAGTTCCCATGGATCTGAGAAACTGAAGTTTGATAAAAATTCGTGATGTTGTTCTTAGCGAAAGTATTCGCAAACGAGAAGTGGGAGATTCATCGGGCAGTGCTCTCAGCATTGATCGAAGGGGGAGAAGTAATACGAAAAGCCAAAATCAATATGGTCGATCAAAATCAAAGAATCGAGGAAAATCACTGAACAGATCAAACGTTACTTGTTGGAACTATGGAGAAAAAGGACACTTTCGGACGAATTGTACAAAGCCAAAGAAGAAACAGAATCAGAAATTTGGAGATGACAATGAATCTGTAAATTCAGCAGAGGACATTGGGGATGCTCTAATCCTTAGTGTGAACAGCCCGATTGAATCATGGATTTTGGATTCTGGTTCATCTTTCCATTCGTCTCCAAGCAAGGAGTTGTTCCAAAATTTTAAATCTGGAAATTTTGGAAAAGTATATCTTGCTGACAATAAAGCCTTAGAGATTGAAGGAAAGGGGGATGTTTGCATAAAGACCACCTTGGGAAACCAGTGGACATTGGAGGATGTCAGATATATTCCTGGGATCAAGAAAAATTTGATCTCTGTTGGTCAGTTGGATAGCACAGGATATACAGCAGAGTTTGGGAAAGGTTTGTGAAAGATCGTGAAAGGTGCTATGGTAGTAGCTCGTGGCACCAAATCTGGAACCTTGTACACCACTGCAGGGTGTATAAACATGGTCGTTGTTGCTGAAGGTGCATCCGGTTCATGTCTGTGGCACAACAGACTTGGACACATGAGTACTAAAGGAATGAAGATGCTGGTTGTAAAAGGAGCATTAGAGGGTCTGAAGTCTGTTGATATGGGTCTTTGCGAGAGATGTGTTATGGGCACAGAAAAAGAGTAAGCTTCACAAAGACTCCTAGAGAGCCAAAGAAAGTGCGGTTGGAAATGGTCCATACAGATGTTTGAGGACCATCTCCAGTATTATCACTTGGAGGATCAAGATTCTATGTTACCTTCATTGATGATTTCAGCAGGAAGGTATGGGTTTACTTCTTGAAGCATAAGTCAGATGTGTTTGAAACTTTCAAGAAGTGGAAAGCTGAAGTTGAGAATCAGACCGATTTGAAAGTCAAATGCCTAAGGTCTGACAATGGAGAAGAGTATGACAAATCAGAGTTCAAGACATTCTGTGCAGCTGAGGAAATCAGATTGATGAGAACAGTTCCTGGTAAGGCAAGGCAAAATGGAATTGCTGAGAGGATGAACAGAACATTGAATGAGCGTGCAAGGAGTATGAGGATACATTGTGGGCTGCCCAAAAAACTTTGGGCATTGGGCAGATGCTATAAGCACAACTGCATACTTGATCAACAAGGGACCAGCAGTTCCTTTAGGGTTCAAGATTCCAGAGGAGGTGTGGACAGGAAAAGAACTCAAGTACTCACACTTAAGGACTTTTGGTTGCGCTGCTTATGTTCATGTTGATCCAGAAAAGAGAGACAAGCTTGATGCCAAGGCTGTGAAGTGTTACTTCATAGGATATGGTTCTAATTTGTTTGGTTACAAGTTTTGGGATGACAAGAACAGAACGATCCTGAGACATTGTGACGTGACATTTGATGAGTCTGTCATGTACAAGGATAGAGAGCAGAAGGTTCTAGAGATTACAAAGCAAGTGGGAGTTGAGGTTGAGTTGGAGAAGAGTAACCCCAGAGATGTCGAAGCAGATACTCAACCAACTCCTACTGAAGAATCTGAAGTTGAGCAAGTTACACCTGAGCAGGTGTTAAGGAGATCATCCAGATCCATCAGGGCACCAAATAGGTATTCACCTTCATTACACTATCTATTGCTGACTGATGAGGGGGAACCAGAGTCTTTTGATGAGGCCTTAAAGGTGGAGGATTCGATCAAGTGGAAGCAAGCCATGGATGATGAGATGAGGTCACTTGAGAAGAATGACACATGGGTGTTGACTGAGTTACCTGCAGGGAAGAGAGCTTTGCTGAACAAGTGGGTGTTCAGAATCAAGACTAAACTAGATGACAAAAGAAGGTTCAAGGCTCGTTTAGTGGTTAAAGGATATTCACAAAGGAAAGGCATCGATTATGCTGAAATATTCTCTCCTGTTGTGAAGTTAACCTCTATTCGAATTCTGTTGAGTATTGTTGCATCGGAAAATTTGCATCTAAAGCAAATGGATGTAAAAACATCGTTTTTACATGGAGATCTGGACAAAGAGATCTATATGCAGCAACCGGAAGGATTTGTGGTTCCAGGCAAGGAACACATGGTGTGCAAGCTCACCAGGAGCTTGTATGGACTAAAGCAAGCACCAAGGCAGTGGTACAAGAAGTTTGACTCCTTCATGACCAAGAGTGGATTCTGCAAAGCTGAAAAGGATCCTTGTTGTTACTTCAAGAAATACACTGATTCATATGTCTTTCTACTCTTGTATGTGGATGATATGTTGATTGCAGGATCTAGTATAAGAGAGATTAACAATCTGGAAGACAAGGTTGTCTGCAGCGTTTGAGATGAAAGATTTGGGTCCAACAAAGCAAATTTTGGGGATGAAGATTTCTTGGGATAGATCTGCTGGCACTTTAAATCTATCTCAGGAGTTGTACATTGAGAAGGTGCTGAGCAGATTCAGGGTTAATGATGCTAAACTCAGGACTACTCCATTGGCAAATCACTTTAAATTGTCAAAGGAGCAGTCACCCAAGACTGCCGAGGAGCGTGATCACATGGCACTTGTTCCATATGCTTCAGCAGTTGGTAGTTTGATGTATGCTATGGTCTGCACTAGACCTGATATAGCACATGCAGTGGGAGTAGTTAGTAGGTACATGGCGAACGGAAAGAGCATTGGGAAGCTGTGAAGTGGCTTCTGAGATATCTGAGAGGTACATCCAGTACTTCACTTTGTTTTGGCAAAGGCAAGGTGACTTTACAAGGTTTTGTGGATGCCGATCTTGGTGGGGATGTTGACTTGAGCAAGAGTACATCCGGGTACATTTACACCATAGGTGGAACAGCAGTGAGTTGGATGTCCAGGCTTCAAAAGTGTGTTTCTCTTTCATCTACTGAAGCTGAGTATGTGGCAATAGCTGAAGCTGGGAAAGAGATGATATGACTGGCAGATTATCTTGAGGAATTGGGCAAGAAGCAGAGCGAGAAGATTCTTTACTCAGATAGCCAGAGTGCCATACAGTTGGTGAAAAATCCAGTCTATCATTCGAAGACAAAGCACATCAGAAGGCGATACCATTTCACTCGCAGGGCAGTGGAGGATGGTGATATGTGCTTGGAAAAGATAGAGGATGCAAAGAACCCGGAAGACATGTTGACAAAATGTGTTGATGTTGGGAAACTGAGGTTATGTAAAACCTCGGTTGGTCTTCTGTAGTTGTTGCTACAGATGTTGCGGTGTGGTAAAGATGTTGATGATGAAGAGATTTTTTTTTGAGAATGTATTTTTTGGATGACTGAGTTAGTCTCCAAGTGGGAGAATTGTTATGTAGTGGAGCCTGATAAATTTTAGGTTTTTCTATTTATTCTCTATTTTAGGCTTTCCTATTTATTCTCTATTTTAGGTTTTCCTATTTACTCTCTGTAACCAAAAATATTCTGATTTATTAATATAAATATACCTCACCGCCGTGAAAGTTTACTCACGGGGTTTTACCACGAAATATTGGGTTTTCTCTTTCTCTCTCTAGATCTCTCATCTCTTTCTCTTGAAAGTTCTTGTGTTCTTCATTCATCTAGTGTATGTGCGTGGATTCGATCCTAACAGCTACATCTTAATGAACTTATGGTCCAATTTCACATTTATACTATATGAGCTTAGTGCTCTTACGACAATGCAATAATATTCATATCATTACATTATCATACCATTAAATAATTATTATGATAAGTAGAGAATTGAAAAAAGAAAAAAGTTAGTGAATCTAAAAGCAGTTATATAGTGTATAATATTTTCGAATTTAAATTTTAATAAAATATGATCACTGTTACAAACAGAATTTGTCTAGAATGAGAACATCACAAGAAAACAACTAATTTATCAAAGAAGGAAAGAAAAGAGACAAAACAGATAGCTTCCTTCGAACAGTGGAATGTAAGCGTAGCTTTAGCTTATACATTATTGTATAGGTACAATTACTAAATTGTCCTTTATTTTAATTCTATAGACAAAGAATAGCAATTCTAATATACTTTCTCCATTCAGTATTATTTGTCATAGTTTTTATTTTTAGAGTTGAAATTTAAAAAATTTGACTAACATTTTAAGATGTATTTTTTCATCATATTAATATGCAAAAAGATTGTGATTTATAATACCTTTTATATAATTTTAAAATATTTAATTTTTTTATTTAAAATGTCAAAACTCAAAATTATGTAATCTAATTTACTTTTAAAAATTTAATTAAATTAATTTTCGATAACCGCAGACAATAGGAATAACAAAGATGGGATACAAAAAATTGACAAAAAAGATGGGAGTATTAGCCGCCAAAGAAAATTACGTAAATGTCCTCACTGCCCTAGGCTTCTCACAGCCTTTGTCTTCTTCTGTTTGAGCGAAAGAATGTGATTTATTTCTTGACTTAACCCAGCGTTTGCACATAAACTGTTCGACGAAATTCCTAAGAGACCTTCAGGTATTAAAATCACTCATATTTCATATATTTAGAGTTATGGGTATCAGGAAAAAGAGTATTGTTGGTTGATAATGACCTCAAGAACTTGACAGTATCACATTAATGTTCTTAAAGGTTACAAATGACTTAATTTTAATTCAAAGTTGGTATTCTGCAGGCATAATTTGCAACCCCATTCAATTATTCCATTCATATTGAAGGAATTTGGACTTAATCTGATGGGAAAAGCATCTAGGGATAAGAGGGTATGTACTTTATGCAGTTTTTGTATAACCAAGTGCTTCTTCCTTTAATAAAGTTTCAATCTTTTGTAGGATATTTACTACCGGAAAGCAAAGGAAGAAGGGTGGCGTGCCCGAAGTGCCTTCAAGCTCCTTCAGATAGATGAGGAGTTTAATATCTTTGAAGGTTCTCTCTTTCTTAATATCTAGCTAGAAATTTCCTAGTTTTTGGATTCCCTACGTATGGAAAGAGATTAATATTATAAACATGTATAGCCCGTAATGTCTCCACAGAAAGCATCTTATAAAAATTGCTGCATTTTATCTTTACCAAGAAAAAAAAATGGCTTTGCTATCAAAGGGATGTTTTACTGTTAAGGTCTCTTTGAAGGTCTGGAAAAGTGGTAGCTCTTCATTAGTTCATTACAGTGCAGTTCCTGATGTAGGGTTTAGTCTCTTAATGGAAATTAACAAAGTTGTGGACAAACTACATCCCTGAATGCTGAAACAATATGTTGTTTGGACTACAGAGAACAAGATATCAAGTTGAAATATGTTTGGTTAGAGCTTGAAATAATTGTAAGTTGAATGAGTATATATATGCTATGAACTCTCTTTCAGCAAAGTGCTGCACATTAGGAGTTCACAAATTCCATTTTTCATTGCTTTTTTGGTCAGAATTGCTTGTTTTTATTGATAACCCTTTCCATATGTAGGTGCGAAGCGCGTTGTGGATTTATGTGCTGCTCCAGGCAGCTGGAGTCAGGTGCTTACAATTGGATCTAGACTATTGTTGTTTCCATGTCTTATATAGCTTTCTAACCAAAATAAACACTCGCTATAAAGATTTGGCTTTCTGATTTTATTGAATTATCTCAGAATAACATGCTGATATTTTTAGTCTTGTGCTTACTCATGATTATTTGAAAGGATTGCTATAGTTTATACTCATTATGAGAGTGTGATACAAATTTTGGAGGTAGGATAGGATTCTCACCATAGTTCTGCACATCTACATATTTATACTTGTGATGCCATTGGATGTGTTGTCATAGTGAGGTTTCTCTCTCTCTCTCTCTCTTTAAATAATGTTATCACTATTATGCCCATCCTATTTCAAAGAACTATTTCTTTTGATTTTTTGTTGTATGATTTAGCTTCTAAAGTTGGTAGTTTTTCCCTTGTGCTTACGTTTAGCTCTATTGGATCAGACCTACACAGAACATAAGAACGGGAAGTATCTTAAGCAATAAAAAGAGTGAGGCAGTCTAAATTTAGCCCAGAAAGTACTGTGTCTTAGAGTGTGATCTTGAACCTTACTAGGGAAATAATAGGAAAGACTTTCCATTTTCTGATATTTAGCGGCACTCATTTAAGAAGGATGCATGTGCTGTTAGATTTGGCATGATGTTTTGGGATGCACCACCGATTGGCTTGTTTCTGATAGAACCATTACTATCCATTACTTTTCAAAAAGAAATACATGAAAAAGCAAAGAAATATTATTAATGCTCTAAATGTCTTTCTCCTTGTTGTGATCTCCATTTCGAAGTCCCTTGATGGTTTTCTTCTTTATAGGTTTTAAGCCGGAAGTTATATCTCCCAGCAAAGCTGTCACCGGGTACCAAGTATGTGTACTTTCCTTTTGTAGTATGGCAATTGCTTGTAACTCTTGTGTTTTCTAGCTACAAGAAAGTGAAAGAGGCCCATTATAATGATATTCTAAAGTTTTATTTCTGATCTAGTGATTGAGGCCTTCTTCTGTAGTTGATGCCTTTGTGAATTGTTTTCCCTTTGTCTTATTTCGTTCTAATTTTATCTTTTGATCTCTTGGAATGAGAGTGGGCAACATTATTCATCTTAAGTAGTAACGATAATAAATAAAGAACCAAAAAGCTGCATCCATTTTTTAATACCACACCAGTCTGCATCATTGCGGACGATGTGCAATGCTATAAGTTATCATGCCACCATATTCAATAGGTAATAATATAAAAGAACAGTTAGTCATGAACCAAAGCTTTAGCTTGCTGCATCAATCACATAGACCTTGCCTCACATTGAATGGATTTTTTTTTCATCTCTCCATGTTATCAAACTTTTTTTCTGATGGTGGTTGAACTAAGTTGTTGCAAAGTTTCCTACCTTAGAGGGTTGCTTCTGTAGCTATAATATGTTTGTGGCAGATGAAGTTTTAAGAACACTGGTCAATCAACACTAAAATTGTATAAGTCCAATTGCTTCCACGTTTATCATTTCTGTTTTCCTAGCCATGTCACATCTTTCTTATTCATGCGATTTTCAGGGATGATGATCTACCACTTATCGTGGCTATTGACTTACAGCCTATGGCTCCAATTGAAGGTGTTATTCAAGTACAGGGTGATATAACAAATGCTAAAACAGCTGAAGTGGTATGGATTCGTATGCTATTCCATTTCTTTATTATAGAAATTTCGATTGCGATGGTTGGTGTGTAACTCACAAATGCACATTGGAATATAATTAGCTTTATATTGATTCACTTTCTCCTCCAGAGTCTGAGTGTGAGCAAAAACATCCCAATGTGCATTTGTGAGTTTTTCTTTTGGCCCTAGTTGTAGGAGATTCTCTTATTCTTCCTGCATTTTTGATATTTTGCTTGCTTCCTGATTGGTAAATCCTTTTTAATGACAGTAGCCTCATTGTGCTCCTGATTTGTGTCATTATCTATTCTTATACCCCCAAATGCTTGACATTAGTTCTCAGTCTCTTCATTTGTGGACTCTTCCTCTGTAAAACCCCGTGGTGTTTCCTTTTCTTCTGGGCTAGCTGATCTGCCCATTCATTAGGGGGTTCTTTGGTGTTGTGAGTGTCATCAATGTGTTCTCTGTCATTATAGTCATCTTCCTTTCTGAGAGCTTCAAAGGCGTTTTGGACTTTGGTCTCCTTAATAGTGTTTTTTTTATGTCATTCATGCCTGCTTAGGAGTTGCTTTTTTCTTTTTTTTATTGTCACCCATTGCCTGCCATCTTCATTTTTTTTCCTCATCCTGGAAAAGAAAAATCTGAAGAGCTTTGGGGTCCTCTATTGATATTACAGTTCTGCTATCATTTGGATTCAAGGTTCTTTGGTTGGAGTTGTCAGGCATATTAATGTTTTGTGCTGCTAAAAGCAATATTGGTGGTCAGAGTCCTGTTTTACTCCCCTGTATTAGCCTTCACCTGTTGTATGCTTTGTTCACCATTGTTTGTAGCTTTGGTGTACTGGCTTTTTCACAACATTATCAGGCAATGATTTATCAATACCAAAAATTGTCCATCGGTTTGTAAGCCTGTTTAGCAGGGGCCCCTTTCCCCCCTTTTTGAAACAATTTTTTGTGTTCTTGTTGTGTTGAATTTCTCTTCTGATTCAGCTCTTGCACAGGATGCTTATCCTTCTTCCTATGGTGCAGTCACGATCTGATTTCTTTTGGAGCTTTGTGTTGCTTAGTAACATTTGTCTAATTATGAGTTTCCATGCCTTATTTGTGTTCCCTCAGTTGCTTCTTCGTTGTCCCCACAGCTCCTACGCTGGTTGACAGATTATCCTTGTAATCTACAATAAGAACAATATTTGGGGACTCCTTCTACTCAACTTTTTCTTCAAAACCTTGCAGTGATTGGTAGAATTTCTGTCCAACAAAAACATGAGAAAGTCTTGGCTATGTCGAATTGATTTCAACCTGCACTTTCTCCATGCTTGGCCTTGTTCTTGTTTTAGTGGCCACATCCGTATCCATAGATACTCGAACTGGACTCGTTATTTGTTTAAGAAAGTGCCATGTATGGAGATGAAAGGGGAGTTTTAGTAAGAGTACCCATACCGTAGTTAGAAGACTGTCTTCCTCTAGAGTGAAATCCGGCGTCCATCAGCTTAGCCACGTAGGCGTACCTTTAATCTTAATAACATGTTTGAAGTATACCACTCTGAAATCTCTTCATTATAGACATCAATAAACATATTTTTGTTTCTGTAGACCCCTATTTTTGATCGATCCCTTAATAGGAATAGCTTCTTTGACAGAAGCTCAAATCGTCTGAATTTGGGGTTGCATGTTTCGAAATCTTCCATTGATAGTATATTTGCACTGGCCATAATTGTTAGGATCGAATTCACGCACACACACTAGATGAATGAAGAACACAAGAACTTTCAAGAGAAAAGAGATGAGAGATAGAGAGAGAAAGAGAAAACCCAATATTTCGTGGTAACACCCCGTGAGTAAACTTCCACGGCGGTGAGGTATATTTATATTAATAAATCCGAGTATTTTTGGTTACAGAGAATAAATAGAGAATAAATAGGAAAGCCTAAAATTTAGGTCAGGGCGCTGCCCCGAACCCCGCCTTCAAATGGGGGGCTCCCGCCCCCCATAACCCCCTAGCAACCTCACCGCGGAGGTTAAACCGCGTAAACAGTTATATATATTAATCAGGCTCCACTACCTAACAATTATACCATAGTAGTCCTCCACTTCGAGTATGATTGCCGGCATGCCTTTGTGGTTTCAGCCTTCGCTGATTATCTTTTGCGTTCAAGGTCAATTTGGGAACCTGCTACTGCCTGCATATATTTGCTTTTGGGTGAAATATATTCATGGGTTACCATCAGAATTCCTGTGGGATCGGGACATCGTTTGCCTCGGATGCGCAAATTGAGGTCTGGACACCCTTCCATCAGGTGGTGCATGAGTTTTTGGCACGGTGGAAAGGGTATTTGTTACCTTTGGTGTTTCAGAAGTTAGAGCGAGTATTTTTTCTTGTAAATCAGGATAAGTGGGTTTAATGAAATCTAAATTCCCGATTTCAGCACAGATGAGATGAGTTATGAACTCTGGTTGATGTTTCAGGACATGATTAATAGAGTGAGTGAAAGCATCTTGCACTTTATATCTGCAATTTTGAGGACATTGTCCGTTTCCATTTTACTATTAGACACAATGCTCAGAGAAAACTGAGGTTAAAATTTGGAAAGAATGTGGCTATGGTGTCCAACTATATCATTGATAATTCTCGTGTGATTTAGAATTGGATGTGAAATTCTACTTGGTTTTGTCTGCCGTTAAGAACCCAAAAACTCTACAACCTTATGCTGTAAATATCCGGACAGACACTAAGATAACACCACACTACACTGTTATATATTTCCACCAACAAATAGAACAATTTACAAATAAACTGCCTGTCTTCCTCTAATAACCATCTTAACTTCTATGTAACTGCTAAAAATACATTACATAGCAATAATTAATTACAGCAAGAAAAATTACTCGCTCTAACTTATTTTCACCCTTCTTCCTACATTTTATAGATCTTAGTTACAGCAGGTCCAACATCTCCTTGCGCCTTGATCTGTTTTGGTATTGGCTGGACCCGTAGACAAATTACTATTATAACACAAGGCATGAACCATGACTTGTAGCAAATGAAAACATTTAGTTCAATTTTTCTATTATAACACAAGGCATGAGCCATGGCTTATAGCTAATGAAAGGATGGTTTCTGCAATATGCTCAAAAAAACCTCATAATGCTACTCAATATGCTGTAAGATATCTTAATGTGCTAGTTTGTTCTATTATCTTTCTTTGTACATGTTCACTTATTTATTCTTCTCATATTTCAAGGAGTATACAAGAAGATACTGGTACGATGTTATTTCCTCTCATAATTGTGGTTAACAGTTTTTCAACATCATTGTCAAAAATTTAACAGGTTATTAGACATTTTGATGGATGCAAAGCTGACCTTGTTGTCTGTGATGGTGCACCTGATGGTGAGAAACTCAACTACCCTGATACATTACGTTGGTATTAGCTGTATTTGATGAAACTAATCCGTGCTTGTGTTCTTATGTTGCAGTAACGGGACTTCATGACATGGATGAATTTGTTCAATCCCAACTGATATTGGCGGTTAGTTTCTTAAAGAAATGGTTGGAATTGATTGAGTATTCACCTATATGTATATGTATGTAGTGATGTCGTAATAACATGGGAAGGCACACTCATTGATCTGTAGTTTTCATGCCGTGTTGCATGCCTGCATCTGTTAAAATATCAGTGTCGTGCCAAATTTAGATGATGCAAAGTGTTGTCTAGGAATACTTGAAAGCTCATTTAGGAGTTAATGGCTGTATTTCTGGAAGAAATGCCTTTATGGTGATCTCCACCGTGAAACCCGCTTTTCTTTGGAGAAAAAAAACGAAGTATTCTTCTATCTGGTGATGTTATTTCTCTATTCCTAATATGTTGGATATATGGATTACCGTAAGAAGAAAATAATTGTTTCTTGTCATCTTGCTTGTTTTTTTTTCTATTTGGGTATCCTGCTTATATTTTTTAGTTTTTCCTTGAACGATCAGTTACATGTGCTTAAAGAGATTTTCTCTAATAAATCTACCAAGTTGTTACAGTTTCTGTTTGGAGATATCTCTGTTGTCACATGTGCGGTTGAACTTGCAGGGCCTAACCATAGTCACTCACATACTAAAAGAAGGTGGAAAGTTCATAGCAAAAATTTTTCGAGGAAAAGACACAAGTCTCCTTTACTGTCAAGTTAGTTGCACGTCTACTCATTATTTCTGGATTTAGTTTCTTAAGTAGGTCAAAATCTTGTTTAATCTTCAGAGGAGACCTCAATTTAATGTTTTCTTCTGTCAGATGTTCTACATTCTTGCATTTGTTTGATTGGTGAATTTGCTGATTTTTTACTTTCATACTGCAGCTAAAACTATTTTTCACGGAAGTGACTTTTGCTAAGCCAAAAAGTAGTCGCAATTCTAGCATAGGTGAGTATATAATGTTTTCTACCTTGTTTATGCAGCAAATTTTCCTGTGAATGCAACCCATTCATTTGATGGCTCTTGAAAATGTTATTAATGTTTGTCAATTGTCATATTTAGTCAAAACTTAATGTTGTCAGTTGTGATATTTTCGTCAAAGGTTGATTTTGTAATACTTCAAGGATTTCAGTCTTTGCTTTATGTCCTTGCAATCTTGAAAAAAGGTTCCCCAGTTTCCACAGAAAAAATTTAAAATATTTACGGCTTTCTATTGCCATAAAAATATTTCTATGAATTAAGAGTCAATGAGGCATGTCAAATGCAAATCGGAATAAACTTGTGTAGTTCTGGTCGAGAAAGATTCATTAAAGCAAGTCTAGAATGGCTATATAACATAAATCTAATTCAATCTTTCCGCTGTGCAGAGGCATTTGCAGTTTGTGAAAACTACTCTCCACCTGAAGGATTCAATGAGAAAGACCTTTATCGCCTTCTTGAACAAGTTGGAAGTCCATCAGGCGCTGAGGACTTAGGTAACTTCGATGTGCAGATGCTTGTTCTCTAAATTGCATTGTACTTCACTCTAAACTCTGAATACTTCCTCGTATCATTGGAGTTACGATTTCTAGCTGCTGTTTTTTATGCTAGAAGTAGCATGGCTTCCATTTTCCGAATGCTAGACTAGATGCAATTCCGACTATATAGTTGTACTTATACATTATCTTCCGAACATCTGTGACATGACAGATTGCAGTAGTGGATGGCTTGAAGGTCGTAACAAGGTGTATATCCCATTTCTGGCTTGCGGAGACCTGAGTGGATATGATTCAGATCGTTCATATCCGCTTCCTAAATCTGCAGATGGAACCTATCAATGTTTAGATCCTGTACAACCTCCGATTGCACCACCGTATAAACGAGCTCTTGAAATGAAAAAAGCTTCAAGTCAAGGAATTCATAATCTAGACAAACTTTCTCTTGACCCCTGAGCATTGAGCAAGAACAGTTCTCTTCTGCGACGTCTCACGAGTTGCAGGTATATGTCACCAAATGTAAGGGCACCTTGTTAGCTGCTCTTGCAATTTGATAAATTGAATGTTTTTTAGTAGACTTTTTACTTAAGAACCAAATGAAAGACACATACTTGTGTCCCCACTGCGGGATGCACTGTACGAGTCTTGCCCGTAAACTATTTAAGTGGAGAAGGGTAGATGAGCGAGCCCATTGTTACCAAGTTTCAAAGTTGAAAACAACTGATTTTTTGGTCATCAAAGAAAGATGACAGTGACATGTTTGTGTAGTAGCAAATTTTTATTTTATTCTTGGGTATTTAAATCTTGAATTAACTGACAATGATCAACGGTCATGATTTATGATGTTAATTTCTGCTAATGATGACTTAAAATAATGATATCGTAATCGTATAACTAGTTATCTTATGATTTTATCAAACATAGAATAAACTCATTCATAAAATTAGTTATATCTTATCTGAGGTTGTAGTGTTATCTCTTTAATAGTATTTATATAAAAATTTAAATTAGGTCATTTGTTATATTTGAAGATAAATTTAAAATGAATTTATGTTAGGTGCACATATTGTGTAAAGATGGTCATATTATATTATCTTTGAACTACCACGTTTAATTTTCCGCATCAAACTTGATATTGTAATCCAAAAGTAGAATTGAAAATATAACAGTTATTTTCGATATATCCTCGATTTGACGCTACAACTTGGAACCCCACGACATGTCTCTTCATCAAATTAAGGGAAACACAAGTTGGGTATGAAAGGAAGAAAATAATAAGATATGTTGACTTACTATATATTTCAAAAATCCATTAAATTAATTTCACTTACTGTTTTATATCAAATTATTAACTCTTTTAACTTTTATCTCCACTATATTTTTTTTTATTTATTCTATACAATGTACAACTCAAATTAAAATTTTAAAGATCCCCATAACTTGGAGGGGTAAGGTAACATTTTTCTGAAACTTTTAAGAAGTTTTTATCTTTTTAGACAAATAAAAATTCATAAATTTTGTCTGTCTGCCACTAACTAATGAGAAACTCCCTGTTTTAAAATATTTATTTTATTTCATTTTTCAAGAGTCAAATTATATAAATTTTGATTATTATTTTAAATATATTTTTTTCATCAAATTAATATAAAAGTAATGATTTATAATATTTCTCGTATAATTATTAAACATTATATTATAAATCTAAAAAACACAATTAATTTAATTATAAAAATTAATTAAATTAACTTTTGAAAATTTATTACATAGACGTATAGATGATAGAGTATCATCAATCAACATTTATTTACCTAGTAAATAAAGTACAACAGGAAAAAGGAGTTAACAATTTTTTTTTAATATAACAATAGTAATTTTTTTAAAAAAAACTTCTTGAAGGAAAAAAAAGGCTTACAATATGAGATTTTTTTTTTCTACATCTATGCTACTCTAGTGCTAAAAATAGCTAATTCCAAACGTAACTAAAATCTTTTCTTGTGTGCAACTTAATTCTTATGAAAACGAGTCTCGACACAACAATAAAATTATAATCTTCATATAATTTCACAAGTCATAAACTCAAACCGTAAAAATAATAGACAGTCTACCTCACACTTCTTGATGCTTTGTGTAATGATGTGCCATGTGTTACATAAATAAACAACTAAAATGTCTATAAATTTCCTTTTTCATCTACATAATTACAATAACATTAGAAAAAAAACTAATAGCAAGTAGTGCTAGAAACAGAACTAGATCTAGGTAAAGAAGAAGAAGAAGAATTTAAGAATTCAATACAATCTTCAATAGCTTGAGCTCTTTGTGAATCATAAATTGATGTTTGTGCATAAGAACTTGACCTTGTTAAACTTGTTGTTGTTGATGATGATGATACTTTACATGATGACCTTTTTTTTCTACTTGTATTTGAAAGGAAGTTTAGTGCACTAGCCACTTTTATTCCAATATTCTTTACAAAACTAGCCACATAGGATGAAGAAGAATAACTCTTTTGAAGCCTAGAATTCCAATTAGATGAACATAATGGCTTCTTTTTAAAGTAAAAAATTGAAGGATTATTGTTTTGCTCATGGAAATTATCAGGGCTAAAATTTACTCTTCTACTCATTCTTTTTTTTTTAAAATTTCTTGGGAGAGTTTGTTGTGTGATATGAAGAAGAGAGGCAGTTGTAAAAAATGATGTGAGGTATTTATTGATAGTTGATGAAGAGAGAGAAAAGGATACTCCCACAGTTCAAATTTTACGAATTATATCTTTCATTTTATATAGTATCTTTATTTTTTTTAGTCAATTCCTAAAATACTTCATTTTACTTTAAACGAAATGATTTGCAGTCATACAACAATCTAAGAATTGTTATAGATCATAAATTTCAAAAGATCTTCATTTTTTTTAATCATGTACAAAGCGGGAAATTAAATCCTAATTAAGAATGTAAAAATTTAAATAATCAATCAATTATAAATTCAGATAGGATTTTAAAGTTTTTTCTCTCTAGTAATTGATATATTTTAAATGTAAGAAATATTATAAGTCACAAAATTAATTATTTAAAATATTTTTAAAAATATTAAAAAGTTCATTTTAAAAATTTTAAAAATATCATATAAATTGATACGGAATAGTAAACACTCCATGGCCATTCATTTTTCAGTTTTAATTGTAGTACGTAATAAAGAAAAGGGGAAGATTCAAACCTATAACAAGACCTATTTAATTTATTTATTATTGTAATAAGACTAGAGAAGAGACAAACTTTGACTGATATCCTGCAAAATTTCATGGCCCATATTCATATTATTGTTTGACTATTGACCAAACTAGTGTTTCATTTATTCATTTCAAAATTCCATTTATGTATATTTCGTATTTAAAAAATAATAACTTATATAAATGTTTTATCATAATATCTATTCTGTATCAATTGGTATATGGTTTTAGAACTTGCAGATGGTATAAATAATTAATGTTGAGAATTAAAAAAAAAGAGATAATGCATAATTATCCATTAATTATGCTTGAAATTTTAGAGACACATTTATACTTTATTAAGGTCCTATTATCCCCCTCAAGTTATTTTATTAATAGTTTTATACCCCTTTTCGGCTTACTTGGCACTATCTTGTGGGCCCAATGCTGGTTGATTATTTTTTCAAGTTAGTGTCACGTATGTCGAAAAGGGGTAGAAAATTATTTATAAAATAAGTTCAGGAGGGTAATAGGACCTTAGTAAAGAATAAGTTGTCTCTGAAATTTTGGGCATAGGTTGAGAGGGTACTTGTGCATTTTTCCTAAAAAAAATAATCTATTAATATGTTAAAAGTAAAGATTCATTTTTAAAATAATAAATACATCTAATCATAACGGGGAGGGTGAGAAATTAGACCCAATATTATTTAAGTCAGAAAGATCTATATACAAATAAATGTCATGTATCTTTTGATTTCTCTCGTATCATGTAAAATAAATAAATATTTCTGGATATCACTCAATCTAAAAAACTGATCATGACGTGGAGATTATTATCCAATGTCATATAAGAAGAAAAAATATCATTCCACACTAATATAAGATTACACCCACCCTTCGCATGACAGAATTGAATATATAGAGCATGAACAATATAATACAAAGGCCTAATATCGAATAAACCAAGATCTCTATCCTTGTATAAGTTTAGTTTAACAAAATATAGAAAGGAAGCTTAGCCAAGTTAAACTAAAAGATGCAAAAGGAAACATGTAGTACAAGAAACCAAATATATATAAATATATATATAGGATATGATGACTTTGATTTACTCAAAGATTGATAAAACGTGCATGGAGGGCAATCATGGAGTTAGTATAGGATATATATCCACACAACTACTTACTTTTAACAAAAGTTGAAGAAATATCATTTTCAAATAATTAATCTTGGATATTGCAATCAAGAACCTCTAATTATTTTTTTTTAATGATTTTAGAATTTGGCTGCTGAAATCTTTGTTTCTAGATAATTAGTAATACTTTTCCGTCCATAATTGTTTGTTATGTTAATGTCATGCAAATCCCTTAAGAAAAATTTAATATAATGTGTAATTAGATTAATATAATTTTATCACGAATATCAAAAGTCTATCCAACTTTCTAATTGAACTACATTATCATTAAGGGTAAATTTGAAAAAGACTAATTGTCTCTTGATTATTTAAATTGACAATTAATCTTAAACATCTATTTTTAATATATCTGTCAAACAATCATGGACGGAGAGATTAATTAATAAGCTAAACTTGGAGAACTTTATGAATGTTAATTATTATATATTAGAGATTTAGTGAATCGAGAAAAGATAAAAATATGGTCAAAAAAGGAGAAGAAAGTGTAGTGGGGGATTTTGGGCCCCTACTGGGAATGGTATAAAGTAAAATAAATGTAACATTTGGGGATGAAGAAGAGGTCATGAAAAGGGATTTATAACTTTTACAATTTTCAAAAAAATTTACAAACATAAATTTGTTACATTTTTTTTTTGGTTGTTGTTGTATATTTGATTAGTAAAGGTTATTGTTTTATTAGTGTGATGATGTCACTTATATAGTATTTATGATGTTTGGAGTTATCGTTCTGTGTATTTATTCTGAATGAGTGATCTATTCATGGTTTTATCACTCAATTCGATTAGTAAACTGTGTAACTTACCAAAATATAAGATCATGATGAAATCCTCATTTAAATATCAATTCAAGGCTTCTTATCATTACTCCAACATTAAAATACTTTTGATATCGTCTCCTCATAAATTAGAAGATCGATAACAAACTTATAAGTGAGATCTGAGAAAAATAGTGTATACACAGATTTCTATATATCTTGGAAGGTGAAAAAATATTATTTTAAATAAATCATCGGCTCAAAATTAAAAACTAAAATTTATAATCAATAATTCAATATTATGTAAATGGTTCATTAATGGTTGCTCTCTTCCTTCTCATTGTGATAAGTAGTTATTGGATTACAAGTTGGATAATATTTTTCCTTTCCTTTTTTGGGAATTTAAGGAAATTAATAAGATCATTATTATCCAAAAACGTAAAGGGGTGTAGGAAAAAAAAATTGTGATACCCTCCTAAGCTTTAACTTTAATAGGTGTTCTCAATCCAATGTTTGGACTTGCCCAATGACTCCCTTCTCTCTTTTGTTTGCCACTTTGATTCTCCATTCCCTTTTTTATTGTTACATAGTTAAGTCGAACAAATATTGAGAAAAAGTGATTAGACAAAATATGAGTATTTATAGCTTATTAAGAACATAATTTTGAATAGAAGGATACGAAGAAT